GTTAGTGATACTATTATTGTTACTCTACTGTGCATCTTTAAATCCACTTAAAATGCGATATTAACCTTGAATTATGCTAATTTTGGTAGCTGAATATAAAAACAACCGAACTATAATTTCTAGGAACATACTGTAGCGCATTCGCCCCGGGCAGAGGCAGAAGAGCGCCCGGCTATGGTACGCGGTGAGGGGCAGGACAGGAGTGGAAGTGGTCACAGCGGGGTTTAGGAAGGCCGCTGACCAGTGTGGCTGTCCTACAGTGAAGCGGGCATACAGTCTGGGGAGGTGTCCGTTTTCATTGTAAATAGTTCCCTGCTTCTGCACCCCTGGGTGTTACTCTCTCTCTCTCTTTCTTTTCTCTCTTTTCTCTCTCTCTCTCAGGCGCGCGGGCGGTGTGGTAGCTCGCGCTGTTGGGAGTGGGGTGTCTGTCTCTCTCTGGTTGGGGGCGTGGGAGAGCCGGCTGGCAGGTGGTGACGGAGAAGAAAAATAAAGGCAGCTTTTAACTCCGCAAGTCTGAGTTCTTGTGTCAGTCCTATCCGAACCCAAAATCGTTACATTGGTGTCAGAAGCAGGAGGATGGACAGTGAATGGCCGTTGTTGTGACACTCGGAGAAGTGCCGGATCCCCCAGCAGCCAAGTGACCCCCTAAAGCGCCTTTTGGGGGTGAGCAGCAGCCGCCAGGGGCCAGGACGACCCCTCAGTGCCGCCAGTGGCCACAGCCCTTATCAGGGCTACCCAACGACGACCCACTCAGTGGAAGGGGGGCCCTTTCCCGGGTCGCCTCAGGCCATGTGGCAGGAAGGAGATGCCAGACCAGCAGGGTCCAGCCCACCACCCCTACTCCAGCCTGCGCCGGTGAGACTGAGCCGTTATAATGGGGAGGTCCCATGGCAGATGTTTGAGGCCCAGTTCCAGATTTGCCTGGGCAAACGGCTGGCCTCAGGTGGAGATGGCGGGCCACCTTGCCGCAGTCCTGGAGGGGAAGGCCTGCCAGGCGTTGCTGGATGTACCCGGAGACCAGCGGTACAACTACGCGGCGTTGGCGTCGGCCCTCCGGAGGCGTTTCGGCGGGGGAGAGGAGGCGCCGGGATTGCTGTGGGCGAGGCTGGCCCAACACCGCCGCCTAGCGGGAGAGCCACTGGGTCCTGTCACCGCGGACGTAATCTACTTATCTTGTCAGGGTTACAATACTCTCCTGGAGGAGGCCCACCGGGAGATAGCGCTCCAGGCGTTTCTCCAGGCCCTGGCGCCAACTGAGGTGCAGCGCCATGTGATGCTGGCCGCGCCGGTTTCCTTGGAGCAGACCCTGGCTCTGGCTGAACAGGCTGATGCCGTGTTCGAGGAGACCGGTGGGCACCAACGGAGGGGAACTCCCTCCCGGGCAGCGGAAGCGGCGCACGGGGAATCAGATGGGGAGGAGGAGACGGCCAGCGCGGCAACACAGGGGAAGCGACGACGGCGGGTCATCTGCCACTGCTGGGGAGAGGGGGCACATCGCCCGGGAGTGTTGGGCACCGGAGCCCCGGGGACTCCAGAGACCGTCGGGAAAACGGGAGCGGGACGGCCTAAAGGGGGAAAGGCCGTCCTTGACCAACCGCTCCGGAAAGCCAGAGGGAGCGCTTCACCCCGTCTGCTGCTGTGGGAAGGGTTGACCACAGTCGGGTCTTATTTCTTCCGTGCCTCGTCGAGGGCAGACCCTGCCAGGCCCTCGTCGACACCGGTTCGACCATCACCCTGCTGCGGCCTGGTGTCCTGCCGGGCACCGAGGCAGCCGAACCCCCAGGATGGGAAACCACCAGCCTGCGGCTGAGGACGGTGACGGGGCAGTGTGCCGAGGTCCTCGGCAAGCGGGCGCTCACCATGCAGTTTGGGGCTGCGAGGGTGAAACACCCCTTCTACCTCGCCCCAATCCGTGAGAACTGTATCCTGGGGTTGGACTGGTTGCAGCAGGTGGGTGGTTGCCTTGACTTGGGCTGGCGAGAGTTGGTGGGGCAGGGGGAACGAATCTGTCTCGCGGCGGGCGGGGCGGGAGGTGTCCAGGGCGCGCGGGCTGACTGGAGCGGGAAGCAGAGGCAGCAGGGCAGTTGACAGGGCGGCCGCTGGGGGGAATGCGGGGACCAAGCGCAACGGTGAGATAGGGTGTGATGTGGGGGAACTGTTGTGGCGTAGCAGCGAGGGCCTCACTCGAGGCCAGCGCCGGCAGCTGCGGTCTCTCCTTGCTGAGAACGAGGATCTGTTCGCGGCGAGGGATGAGGACTGCACCCGCAAGGCTCTCACGCAGCACGGGATCGACACCGGGGATGCGTGGCCCATTCCCGTTCCACCCCGGCGGATGGCCTACGTCAAGGGGACGGCCGCGGAGGAGAAGGTTCGGGAGATGGCTGCAGCAGGAAGACAGCCTTCTCCATCGGCCAGGGGCTCTGGCAATTCACTGTCATGCCTTTCGGACTGTGTAATGCCCCGGCAACGTTTGAGCGGTTGATGGAGCAAGTGCTGGCATCAGTTCCCTGGAGCAAGTCCGTGGTGTACTTGGAAGATTTGCTCGTGCATGCCCGGGGTTTCGAGCAGGTCCTGGCAAACCTCTGGTTAGTGTTGGCTTGCATCCGGCGGGCCGGGTTGAGGCTCAACCCCGGAAAATGCGGGCTCCTGCGGCGGGAGGTTACTTTCCTGGGGCATGTGGTCGGGCCGCGAGGGGTGGCCACGGACCCAGGGAAGGTTGCCGCGGTGTGCAACTGGCCGGTGCCCCACACCGTGACGGAGCTCCGCAGTTTCCTGGGGTTGGCGTCTTATTACCGGAGGTTTGTCCGGGATTTCGCCAGCCTCGCTACACCGCTGCACCGCTTCACAGAGAAGGGGCGGCGTTTTGTGTGGGACGCGGACTGTTAGGCGATCTTCCAGGTGCTGCTGGAGGCACTGGTGGGGGCCCCTGTCCTGGCCTTCCCGGATCTGACGCTGCCCTATGTGCTGGATACGGACGCCAGTGCTACGGGGGTGGGCGCCGTGCTAGCACAGGAGGGGCCAGACAGAGAGAGGGTTGTCGCGCACTTTAGCCGGGTGCTCAATAAGGCCAAGAGGAATTATTGCGTCACCCGGAGGGAGTTGCTGGCTGTAGTCTCAGCGGTCCGCCACTTCAAGCCCTATCTGTTCGGGACCCAGTTCAAACTGCGGACGGACCATGCGTCCCTCACCTGGCTGCTCAATTTCAAAGAGCTGGAGGGTCAAATGGCGCGGTGGATTGAGGTTCTGCAGGAGTATGACTTCAAGGTCGTGCGCTGTGCAGGGTCTCACCACAGAAATGCAGACACTCTCTCGCCGCTATTGCGGCCAGCGGGAGCAGCGTGAGGAGGCCGCCCGTGGTGAGTGGGGAGCGAGCACCGCGGCCAAGTCCCTGAGCGGGCCGTTTGGTGTGGGCCTGGCAGACCTGGCGCAGCAGCAGGAGGCAGACCCCGACATTGGGCCGGTGCTCCGCTGGAAGGCGGCGGGGACCCGGCCCGTGCGGGAGGAGCTCGCCCCTCACCCCAAGTCCGTGAAGACGCTTTGCGCACTTTGGGAGGCCTTGGAGGTGAGGGACGGGGTGTTGTGTGTTGTCCAGCAGCAAGGTAAGGTGGCAGTTTGTGGTGCCGCGGTCACTCCACAGGGCGGTTCTCCAAACGGTGCACGGCCAGCCGGGTGTGGTGCACTTCAGCTCCGCGAAAACCCTTCCATTGGGGTCTCTGTCACCGGGACATGGAGCGGTTCTGCCGGACGTGCGCAGTTTGCGTGGCCCAGAAGGGTCCGCCCGGACGCTCAAGGGCGCCCCTCCAGCAACATAAACATTTCACGGGTTTAGGAAGGCCACTGACCACTGCAGCTGTCCCACATTGAAGCATTCATAAACATTTTCTTCATCAAAGTCTTTAACTCGGACACTTGCTGAGGTTATTTTGGAAATGTTTTGAAATGTTCATTCCAACTATTTCAAGTTTATATGTTTTCTAAAAAGCTATAATGTTTTAACCATTTGTATGAATACTTGCTGTCATTATTACTATAAAAAATGTTGAAGTACATTTTAAGATCCACTTAAAAGGGAATATTAGTATGTAATTGCATAACCAAAGAAATTTAAAGATGCCCTTGAACAGAAATCGCAATTGAGTTTTTTTCAAGTTCATACAGCATTACTTTTAAACACACATTTTAATGACACTATGTATATTTTTAAGTAACATTTTTTTTTTGCTGCCCTTTGTTATATCAGTTAATATATTATTAGTAGTGCTTAAAAGTATTTGGCTTCATCTGAGTTGTTAGAAAAAGTTGTATAAATTGCACTTGTGGTGCGTGGCATGTATTTAATCTTAACCTTTCTGATGTAGCACTAGAGGGAGGGAAACTGCGTGTGGGTTTTTATTTTTACTCTCCGTCAACACACATTCACTGATGTAGCTTTAGCTTAGGAACTCCAGTTCTCATGAGCCCCACAGGGCCTCCTGGCATGTCTCCAGTTACTAAGTAAGGCAAGTTACTGTATTCAAAGCACTCTTCAGATATTCGCACGTATGTAAACATTCATCTGTACTGTTTGTCAAAACAGACCACATGGCTTTTCTTAAGAGGACTATGGCCACAATTAACAATCACTTTCATGCCAGATAATGAAAATGAAAGTCAGCAAGAGACATTGTAGAGCATTGTATTGAATTTGTATTGACATTGTATTGAACAGGCTACCAAAAATAAACTATTTTTTATACATCAGGCTGAGTGACCATGTCTCTGGGTGCCCACTCACTGCACAGGTTCATCCATGTTATTGCTATTTTTATTTTCAATATTAATTTAACTGTTTTTTACTTCCACCGTTTACAGTATTTAAGTTTTGCTTCATTATTAATATTATT